GCCTCACACCTCCACCTCACAACTCCCACCACGGCTCCTGTACTGCAGGTACCCCAGTTTCCTCCCCCAGCCCAAAGACATGCATTGTAGGCTGATTTTTGTGTCTGTAGTGTGTGAATGTGTGTGTGTGTGTGTGTGTGTGTGTGTGTGTGATTGTGCCCTGCGATGGTGTGCCCCACCCTGTGCCCCATGCCTCCTGGGATAATCTCCAGATTCCCTGCAACCCAGTAAGGATAAGCGGTACAGAAAATGGATGGATGGATAAACAAGGTGATGTTTATTTGGCATTCATGGAAGGAGTCTCCAGTGTCAGCAGTCCGGCGTGAAATCTGTAACCTTACGTTTTCTGACATCTTCAGGTCAGAGGAGTTTATGCTTTGCAGTTTTTCAGTAATATGACAACCTGTGAGGTTTTTCGTTTTGTTTGATCAAATTTCAAGAGGTGAGGGAACGACTGTTTACCGCTGTTGTACAACGTCTTCTGCAGATGTTCGACAAGGTTAAATGTAACTATGAGCGAAAAAAAAGTATGTCATGTTCAATAATAAATGTAAAAAGTTGGAAAATCGCGGTGATTAAAATGGAATCCCTTGCTTAGGGACATGCTGCTATCTTCAGGGTGGTAGCAGGGTGGTAACTGTGCTTTACCACACCACCCTGTCTTCCAATAACAGCACAACAAGGGAGGTTTTAATCTTTACATACCACCCGCCCTTGCTTGTGACTGATGTGACTCCGGTTACAAAGGGATGACAAACTTAATCAGCTCCAACACCATGTTCTATTGAGCAACTGACATACTGAAGCTATTGTAGAGAGAGCTGATGATTGAGTAAAAGTCCATCTGACAAATAAAGCCTTTGGAGAGTGATTAGAAAGATGAATAGGAGGTATGAGGTGTCTAAATCTCTGCTAACGTTGCTTTCCGAGCATTTAAGATGATAATTGCTTCCGCTATTCATTTTATTCATTGCCCTTTGCCGTTCCAATACTTTCAGAACGAACAGTATATGTATACAAGGTTTTTTTTTTTACATGAGAATAGAACAAACTTTAGGGGTATATTATGTGTCTTCCAGAATGTAATGGGTCAGTCATGTTAAAAAACAGTGATAATAATGTGTAATAAAGGTGTTCAGTGAGGTTGAGGTCAGGGCTCTGTGCAGGACACTCCAGTTCCTCCACTCCAACTTTGGCTTGCTTTGTGCACAGGGGCGTTGTCATGCTGGAACACGTCCGGGCCTCTTAGTTCCAGTAATGGGAAACTGTAATTCTACAGCATACAAAGACATTCTAGATAATTCTGTGCTTCCTACATTGTGGCACCTTTTTGGGGAGGAACCACGTATGCGTGTGATGGTCAGGTGTCCACATACGTTTGGCCATATAGTGTAGGATAGAAGAAAGGCTGTAGCGAAGTACAGTCCATGTGTTAAATCAGCTTATCCAATCATCACAGACTATACACATCACATGGCTGTATGATGAACTGTGTCAAATAACTGAAACATGAATTAACAGTAAACTATAAATGTAGTGAGAATCCTTCGACCAGACCTCCAGCTACAGTCTTACTAATGACATTAAGGAAAAGTAAACACAGGCCTTCTGATGCTTTTTTATGTGCTACTATACAATTTCCTCAGCAATTCAATGAGAATAGATAAACACAGACCTTACTGGGCAATTAAAATGGATCACCCCCACCCCACCCCACCCCCTTTCCTATTCTCACAGCTTTACAGAGTACGGTTGATATTTGCATTGAGTTTCCCACAGGCAATTATCACGAAATTAGATTTCTTTTTTTTTTCTTATACCAGAACCTGCATAAAAACAACGATACTTCAGAAGCGTTTCTGTCTAGAAGATAAATGGAGGCTGCATACTGCGAAGACAAAGAAATCTCCAGCTGGAAAAAAAAAAAATGTTATTCCGTCTAGCCTAAACATTTAATAATGTCTTTAGAAGGAGCATCATCTGCGAAACAGTCCAAATACATACTTCAGTTATTTATTTATTTTCTCCTTATTGCAGTATCTTCGTATAGATTGCATTTGATTTTAGCATCAGCGATTAGGTTTTGTTGTAGTGATAAACTCAGAGTGCCCCGTGAGCGGAAATCCACTTTCCCAAACATACGGCGGAGAAGAGCAAGAACGCTTTGTGCATTAATTCTCTTTCCCCCCGAGGCTTCTCAGAAATGGCACAGGATTCTGAGAACTTGGCTCACGACGTCTGGCACTTTATCGAGACTCCGCCGCACAGAGGAACCATCACATACAACACTCTTCCCTGTGAGCTATTCTACTGCAGGAATATCAACTCAGTGCTCCACTTAGATCTTAGAACGTCACAACAGAGGCCGGACACGCCGGACTAATGAATCATTAAAGACAGAGCTTGGCCGAGAGAACGACACAACGCCATATGACTGCCTCTCGGGCGTTTGTAATTCTGGTGCAATATGAGTGAGAAAAGAGTGATGAGCACAGCCCACTGCAATTTGCTTTGACTTTGGCAGCTGCTTGCTTTGTTCATTACAAGGTCAGAAGCCAAGACTGATTTGAATGAAATAATCAGGTCATTGTGGGTACTGAAATGAACAGGCAGACTATTTCCCACCCTGAAGTGGATTATTTCCCTATAACAGTGTGTTTTATTCCTTTTATACCACAGCGATTGGCGAACAATTCCATATACATCATACGTTTTTATCAATTTAGAGTTACGTTCCCTCACCCTCGCCTTTTTTCTTTCTTTCGAAGAGAGAGACAACATGCAGTTTGTCATGTTACAGAGAAACCCTTCTGTCCTGTCGACCTTTACAAAGAGCTGAGACTGGAGACTCCTCCCATAAATGTTAAATAAACATTTCTTTACACAGCAAAATTATTATAATTTTTTTTTTACGTGTACATTACAACTCGTTTTATTCAGATTGATTTATTTTTAGCGTTCCGCCATACAAGTCTCCGTGAGCGAGCTGTTACTTTAGAAACGATAATGTATTAGAATGGGCGCGTTCATGTAAACCTGGGATTTAAATTACAGCCTGCACCAGTGTCCGATTGTGCTGCTGTTATAGAAAATGAATCACCGCCTTCTGATTCAAGAATTCAGTCACGCTGTGGCAATGTTGATTATTCTGGAAGTTCATGGTTTGTTCACGTTAACTAATGTGTAACTGATCAATACGAAGCATCGCTATATATAGAGTAAATATTGACATTTGTTCATCGCTTGCCTCTGCGTAAAGTGTTTGTCGATACACACAAGGAGGAAAAGCGGCATAGCTGCACAGCTTGATTGAAAAGCCATTTCACATACTGGCTGCAAAATGATCTGATTTCTTTTAACAGCTTTCATTTTATCGCCTGCGTTATACGTGTGTAGGCGATTAAAACTTATGATCCCCTTCCACTTGTGGACTCCAAATTGGCTGGATCGGTATCTTTCATAACCGACATTACGGTCCTCTGTACATCATCAAATGAACTGTCCACATTCATTAAATGTCTGAAGGTAATAGCTAGATATCTATATCTATTTAGATTCAGCCATCCAGATCCTGTACCATTGTGTTCAAGAGGGTGTAAAAGCCAGAAGCGCATCCTGTACTGGCATCTTTCCTTATAAGTTTGTCACGCAGCTAGTGGCTGTATTCTGAGTATGGTATGGGATAGGCTCCAGGTTCCCCGTGACCCGGAAGAAGGAGTAAGCGGTAGAAGATGGATGGATGGATGGATGGATGGATTAGACAAAACGTTCCCATCTTCATCAAACTCATAATTACCAGTTGGCAACACAGAAATTTCAGCGAGCTCCATTTTGACATTGCTTTCTGGGCTCATTTGCATATTCGGAATTTGCATATTCAGTAGTGCAAAGATTGTAGAGCGATAACGATTATGTAAATAACAAAACACTGTCATGCTGTTACTGGAAAGAAAGAAAAAAGAGTGACGTGGTGGTGTGATGAAGCGGAGTTACTGATACAACCCTGAAGGTGATTATTTTCTTGTAACAGCATGCGCAGAAGTGTTTTATTCCTCTTATATTTAATTATATTTATTTATTAGATTTATTTTAATGACTTTTTATTTTATGTTAAACCTGCGAAAAACAAATGAATGATAAAATGTCCTCTCCGGATTTTGTAGATAAAGGTTAGATGAAGGTCTGCTGGCTCAGTAGCGATGAGTGCAGTTAAGCCTAGAGGGAGGAACTAAGTTTAAATAAAGGTTAAACGCTGCATTTATTCATCGCTCCTTGAAGAAACTGCTCAGTAATGGGAATCTGCACTAGATCACGCCCCTTTTCAAGGGTTCACACCAGAAGACAAATGACCCATAAATCACAAAGCCATCACGCTTTCTTAGCAGCTATTGGAAGGCGCTGAAATGGAACGATTTATTTATTCATATATTCATACATTCATTAAAACAGAACAAGCCCCAGAGTCAGAGGTCTGATTTACAGTAAAAGTGTGCAGCCTTTAAAGTAAAGGATAAAAAGAAAATAAGGTGAAATGAGGATCAAGATGGCAGCAGATCAAATGGGACCTTCAGAAATAAATGAGATTTTTAAAAATCTAGTGAAGATTATATTACATTTAGGAGTAGCTAATTAGCTGATCACCGGATCACTGTCATCTGATTTTCATCGTCCTGCACTTAGGGAGAAGTTGTAGGGTGATAACTGCTGTAACAAACACCGGACTATACAAAGCTAACAGCTAGAATGCAATAAAATATTCAACACGCTTATTTACATTCTAGAATATTCAACACGCTTCCATTTACATTCTAGAATATTCAACACAACATTTACATTCTAGAATATTTAACACAACATTTACATTCTAGAATATTCAACACAACATTTACCTTCTAGAATATTCAACACAACATTTACATTCTAGAATATTCAACACAACATTTACATTCTAGAATATTTAACACAACATTTACATTCTAGAATATTCAACACGTAAAGGGGGCAGTGGTCGCTTGATGGTTAAGGCTCCGGATTACTGATCAGGAGGTTGGGGGTTCAAGCCCCAGCACTGCCAGGCTCTGGATTACTAATCGGAAGGTTGGGGGTTCAAGCCCCAGCACTGCCAGGCTCTGGGTTACTGATCGGAAGGTTGTTGGTTCAAGCCTTAGCACTGCCAGGCTCTGGGTTACTGATCGGAAGGTCGGGGGTTCAAGACCCAGCACTGCTAGTGCAACCCCCTAGTGCAACCAGGCTGCCAATGTTGAGCAAGGCTCCAAACCCTCTCTGCTCCAGGGGTTGTATCATGGCTGATCCTGCACTCACTGTGCATCACTGTGCTATAATGTATAGGTGACCCAATAAAGACTCATTATTAGCTGACTGCTATACATTTAGCTCGATAGCATCTAGATAGTTTGATGCTACAGATATTAATATAATTTAATAATGTCCTGTGAGAGATAACAGTAATCAACCCTGTGTTGTGTTAACATGTCATAACACTTACATGAAATCTGGATCAAATGGTGTTCGAGCAGAAAGTTTCACTTCCATATTACAGGCTTTTAATTTGCTAAACTTAATGGATTTATCATAGTTTTAAATCGAGCGCTCCTGAATCACATCAGTGAAACATTGCAATAAAGACAGGACTGTTGTGTTATGAGTGGAGAGATGGATTTCCTCTCCATGGTGTCTCGCAACATGATTAGCAGCTCCAAGATCATTATTTTCATTATTAACTTTGGTGATGGAGGAGCACACTGAGTTACCAGCAGCACGCTGCCCATCATGTAATCAGTCTGGTGTGACATGAAAGTGAAAACATGGTGTGTAAGTCTTAATTACACTCAAAGGATCATTTTAAATGCAAGTTTTTAATTCTGTGTGAAAAGTGGCAGACATTATCATGTGGAAGCGTGGTGTCAGCATAACCCAATCTCTGAAATTGCATTCCAAGCTTCCATTAATGAGGTTGCCTCGAATGCATTTTCCCGTGACCTTGTGTAGGAGAAGCAGTAGGGAAAATAGATGGATGGATGAATCTTCCCTGACCCCAATCCTTGGCCAGCCTACAGATTTATAATATTAGACTACTGGAATATTTGAACATTTACTTTTGTCAGTAACATAAATATGTGTCACGTAAGTGACTAAAACCCAAAGGAATATTCCTTGCAGTGACCAGTCTAGTGAGAAGTGTGCTTGAAAGTTTGTGAACCTTTTAGAATTTTTTTAAATATATATTTGCATAAATATGATCTAAAGCATAATGAGATTTTCACACAAGTCTTAAAAGTAGACAAAGAGAACCCAGTTAAACAAATGAGACAAACATATTATACTTGGTCATTTATTATTGAGGTCATTTATTGATTGATTAAATATTACATATCTGTAAGTGCCTAAAGTATGTGACCCTCTACGGTTAGCAGTTTAATTTGAAGGTGAAATTAGAGTCAGGTGTTTTCAATCAGTGGGATGATGATCAGGTGTGAGTGAGTGTCCTGTGTTATTTAAAGAACAGGGATCTATCAGAGTCTGATCTACACAACACATGTCTGTGGAAGTGTATCATGGGATGAACAAAGGAGATTTCTGAGGACTTCAGAAAAAAGAGTTGTTTAAGCTCATTGTGGGGCGCACAGTGGTTTAGTGGTTAGCACGTTCACCTCACACCTCCAGGGTCCGGGGTTCAATTCCTGCCGGGGCCATGTGTGTGCGGAGTTTACATGTTCTCCCCATGCTGCGGGGGTTTCCTCCAGGTACTCCGGTTTCCTCCCCCAGTCCAAAGACATGCATGGTAGCCTGATTGGCGTGTCTAAATTGTCCGTATAGGTTGTGTGAGTGTGTATGTGATTGTGCCCTGCGATGGACTGGCACCATGTCCAAGGTGTACCCTGCCTCGAGCCCCATGCTCCCTGGGATAGACTCCAGGTTCCCCGTTGAAGATGGTAGAAGCACTCCAAGATGTGTAATAGTCCACGAGGTACAAAGGAACCCAGAGTAAATTCTAAGCAACTAAACGCCGCTCTCACATTGACTAATGTTAATGTTCATGAGTCCACCATCAGGAGAGCTCAATGGTGTGCATGGCAGGGTTGCAAGGAGAAAACCACAGCTCTCCATAAAGAACATTTCTGCCCATCTGCAGTTTGCTAAAGATCACGTGGACAAGCCAGAAGGCTGCTGGAAAAATATTTTGGATGGATGAGACCAAAATAGAACTTTTTGGTGTTATGTTTGGAGAAAGGAAAACACTGCATTCCAGTATAACAAAGTTATCCCATCTGTGAAATATGGTGGTGGTCGTTATTTAATTAATTAATTTTTTTTGCCGTTTAGCTGTTTTGTTGCTTCAGGGCCAAGATGGCTTAATTTGTCAGTTGGTGCTGTTGTATTCCTGTGAGGAATTAGCAGTCGTGTGTCACACTGATGTCACAGTCGAACACTGCTATTTCTAGCGCGGTTATAATAGCGTTTAATAGGTGATAAAACGTCAACAATCCTAAACATGATAACGTAAGGGACAACGGTAAGGACTCAGTGTGAGCTCGTAAAAACAAAGTGACATTTTCCAGCGACATTCAGTATCACAATGAGAAATCCATAGAGCTGTGGAGACGTTGGTGCAAACATTGGACTTAAAAGTCCTAGAATGCAATGCAACTACACGCTACAGACTACAGTTTGGCTAGTTATCTACCTACGAGATGATGAACACGATGATGTTGATAGCGGTATTGGCATGAAAGTCAAAGCTTTGGAAATTGATAAGAAGGTGAGAGAGCTGGAAGGACTGGAAGCGCTGCCGCATCGCTCTGTTTAGGTAGAGATGGGCGAGGACAGCACAATCAGTGTGTACTCGAACGGCATTGCAGGAAACTGTTAACCAAAGTGATGAAAGAAGTTTCAAACGAAAAAAAAAGCCAACTTGGACAGCAATGAAGGACATGTGTTAAATGTAAAAAAATATAAAATGCAAGGCACTCGGGGTTGATGTCTTTTCCTTTAAACGAGAAACTGGCTCATGTAAGCGTAGGTCACCAGGGAGACTTCATGGGGTATGTCATCTGTTTTATGGATCTGAAATACATTTAGAAGCCACTACATTTTTTTTTATGCTTTTACTTGATAAAATAACTCTCTTTATTCTGAAGGTAATATAAATGGTACCCAAATCAGGAGCTTGTTGAATAGAATCTCTGCTGGTGCAAGATATTTAATTAGTCACTCTCTCTCTCTCTCTCTCTCTCTCTCTCTCTGTGTGTGTGTGTGTTAGAGCTCTTTCATTTCAGCTGGAGCTTGTTTTTTCTCTCTCTCTCTCTCTCTCTCTCCAGCTGAAGCCTCTCTTTATTTCAGTGCCTTCAGCACTTGATTACATTCACAAAAACGAGATTTTCAGTCCTTTTTGAGACGTAGTGTTTTGACAGGGCCGTGTATGTGAGAGTCATGAGGATGAGCCAGTACTGGTGTAAGTGGAGAGGAGAGGAGAGGAGAGGCAGGTTGTGTTGAGGTAAATGAACATGTATTCAGGCAAACATCTTGTCCTCTAGAGAGCTGTTCTGTTATTGCTGGCTGCAGTACGCATCATCTAGAGCTAAGTGCCATTCCAGTTTGTTGTGGTTTTTTTTTTCATCCAATTTAAAAGTCATGCCAGATTTTCTGACTCGTGTGCCAGATCTTCTAAAAGGCTCTGCAGGCTATTTTTCTATACCGTTTTTGCAGTACCGTTCCATTTCATTTCTTATTTGTGTTTTATAGACTTTTAGAAAACATTTCAACCTTTTCCAGGTATTTTGATTTTCGTCATTCATAAATGGACAGAACATTAAATGTGGACGAGTAGATGCAGGGTCACCCAAGATAATCCTTTAATTCAGGGCCGAGCAACATCATGACAAATTCAAATCACAATCATTTTAGCCGTCCCGCTATCTTTGTATCTCGATCGAAATGTTGAAAACACTGACATTTTTATTTATTATTTATTTATTTGTTTTGCAGTTTTAGTGCTAATTCGTTTTTGGGGACATCATGATTTAAAACGATTTGTTTTATAGCACAATATATGGCAACACATCATGAATCATAGAAATGTCTTCAAATATTGTGATGTAGTGTGTTATATTGCCCACCTCCCCTGCTTTGGACCCAGCTGGTGATATGTTGGTTACTTTTTAATAAAGTTAATACACTGAAGACACATCGTAATATTTCAAAGCCACAAACGAAATATCTCATGGCCATGAATTATTATATTGTATCACGATTTGTGTCAATTGAGCCAGTGGTTTAATATGTTCTGGAAAGCCATTCATATACGTGACCTCCAGTAAATATTGTGGTGGAAACTATGTAATGTGTTTTTTCCAACTCCATGAGGTGAGATATCTCATCATTACTGTTCAAAAACGCAGGAATTTCACAATTTGAATCAAAATAACCAGGTATAACCATACTAGCTGATATTGAATTATTTATTTAATTTAACGAAATTATGGACTTGCCAACAATGACAGAATAGAATCAAATACTTGAGTGCGTAGGGTTAAAATGTGCATAGGGTTAAAGAATAGAATAATTGAGTGCATATGTCATGTCACAGCAAACCAGCCTACAAACATGGCCGCCATGGACTGCAATTCCCAGACCACCCATTCATTCTAATCACACACACCTGCATCCAATCTCACACTCAATCACACCGCAGTTTAAAAGGACTTTCGAGGCATTCACTCTTTGCGAAGTATTGAGTGTTATCACCGTACCAAGCGTTTGTACCCTGTTCTTCATTTTGATTCATGGTCTTAGATCTTGTTTCTGGTTTCTCGTTCTGGTTTCTTGCCTTGCCTTGTTTATGCCTGTTTGCAGATCGCCTTACCCATTGCCTGTTTTTGACCACGCTATTGCCTCATGATTTGGATTTGTCTGCCTGCCTGCCTCTCTTTATTGAATGCTCTTATAAATATGTTGTCCCGGGCAGGTTGGTTTGCGATGATGTTCTGCGCAGTCTTTATGACTGTCTGCAAATCCTTTTAATCAGCTGCAGAGCTACCTCCATACCACACCAGC